AGCTGGATCAGGCGGTGTCGGCCGCTCATACCTTCTTCGTCGCGAATCCCCAGCACCTCCAGATGCGGGAGGACATCGAGAAGTACCGGCGGATGTCAGGGGTGAAGTCGGACAACTTTCGGGACCTGGAGGCCATGCCGCACTGGGTGAGGGCTCGGTGCAGAGCCAGGCGTCAGCGGCGCTCGTCCCATCCTAGGGACCAGTCTGGGACCCTGATCTGCTCCCACACAAGGGTCAAGGCCCCTGTACGTGGAATCATAGAATGTTTTAAGCTGGGAGGGACCTTTAAAGATCACATAGTCCAACTCTCTGCCATGGGCAGTGACGTCTTTCGCTAGATCAGGTTGCTCAAAGCCCCGTCCAACCTGACCTTGAACATTTCCACTGATAGGGCATCCACAACTTCTCTGGGCAACCTGCTCCAGCGTCTCACCACCCTCATCACAAGAAATGTCTCGGGGCGTCCTTTGGTGTCACCCACACTGATGGGGGATCTGGATGTGTCCTTCGCAGGAAGCATATGAGGCTGGGGTGCAGCACTACGACGCGGACGAGTACCTGCAGGCTGTGGCCAGGCTGGAGGAGTCGCTCACAGAGGCGCTGTCAGCGCTGGAGGAGTGTCGTGCCCTGTGTGAAGGGCCTTGGGAGGATGAGGATGAGGAGGAGGAGGAGGAGATGCAACCTGGCCTGTACGAAGCCATTGCAGGTAGCGTTAGAGGCACAGAGAGCTGGGTAGGAAGGCCATGCTCCTCCCCACACTGGACATGCCCCGTTTCCCAGTGCTCCTGTCTGGAAGAAGTGTGAGTTGCTGCCTTTCTTGCTCCTCTCTCTTGCAGCCCATTACATTCAGGTTTTGAAGTGCAGACAGCAGTGCGTCCTTGAAATTGCCACAAAGCCGGGGCGGATTTCTGCCACGGAAGATTTCATACCCTCTCATCTTGATTTACTGCAGTTTGCCTACGATCAAGGTGAGCAGAGCCGCAACCCAGCGGGTTATGCTGTGGCACTCCTAAACTTGCCCTTTGCCTCAACCTGGAGGGCAGCATTGTCATGGCAAGAAGCGGCACACTGACCTCAACTCTACCTCTCCCTCCCCTTTTCTGCCCCCCTGACTCTTCCCAGAACCTCTTCTCTTGCTCAAGCCTGTGGCCACCTTGAGAGAGGTCCCTTGTGGTCCACTTCAGTCTCTTTGTGCAGCTTCTGTGATGTGTGGCTGCTCCCACTTCTTTCCTCCAGCACTCTCCATTTCACATCCTTGCTCCAACTACTTGCTGTGTATTTTATATCCTCCCTTCCAGCACATGGCTCCAGACCGGCCCCCAGTTCCTATCTGGAGCACGCACGTGCATCTCATCTCAACAGTGGTGTTCCTTCTGAGTCAGCCCTACCTGCCCTCGCTGAACTGACGGCCTGTCTTGACGTTGATGATCCCGTCACCCTGTCTCCTCTTCTTCCCACACTGACCCAACTGTCTCTCATCTCCTCTGCCAGACCCTTGGTAAAACCTGTATCTCAAAGAAGCCTCCAGATCCCTCATCGTGTCTGTTGGGTGAGGGAGGTGGGACCGTCTTTCTTCCAAATATATACCTATTTTTTTCCTCTGTCTCCTCTAAACAAGCTCCCACTAAGTATTGGAAGTGGGCCCATTCTTCACCAGGCTCATTCCCTGTATTCTCTACCCATTGTTGGGTAGAGGCCCATCTAGGCAGGGATTGATGTGTACTTGATGTAAGGTCTCCTACGGCCGGATCCTGACCGGGGCGTTGGGTGCTGCTGGCCTGTAATCCTTTGCTGCTCACGTCAAGTTTTCCAGAGACTTACCTGTTTGTTCTGTCCTGTCCATGCCCAAGTTGGGAACCAGGCACTGGCTGCCGAATGCGCTGCTTCCTACTTGCTCTTCTATCCCACCGATGAGCCAATGTTGGAGAAACTGGAACAGTATCGCACAGAACTGGGAGAGGATACAGCCGTGACAGCCAGAGAGGTACTTAAAACTCCAGGTCTGTACTTTTTGGCCCTCTCCTATCCCATATGACAGGACCACAGTCCAGGAGACAAAAAAGGGAAACGTGTTTCCCTGCCCATGTGTGCCAAGCCCAGCACTGAAGAAACTGGAGCCTGAGTTTACTTATAGCCTGTACCAGGCAGGGTCCCTTCAGGGCAGAACTGGGCTCTCATAGTGCACAGAAGTGTGTTGGGGCAGGTTTCTGCCCTGGACAGGGATGGGGTTGTCTTCTGTGGGGTGGTTGTTTGACAGCCTCTCTGTTTCCATAGAGTATTCAACATTATGTGCAGAGATCTTTGATGGAGAAGAAGTTGATTTATTATGCAGTGGAGCATCTAGGAGGAACTTTTAACGACCCTGTAAGTAACAGTATCGTCTTAATCTTCCTGCCCTGATTTCACCAAGACAGTTGCCAGAATTTGCTCCAGTAGCACATGATAGAATCATAGAATGGTTAGGGCTGGAAGGGACCTTCAAAGGTCATCTAGTCCAACCCCCCTGCAAGGAACAGGGATATCTCCAACTAGATCAGGTTGCTCAGGGCCTCGTCCAACCTGGCCTTGAACGTCTCCAGGGATGGAGCATCCACCACCTCTCTGGGCAACCTGTTCCAGTGTTCTACAACTCTCATGGTAAAAAATTTTTTCCTAATATCCAATCTGAATCTACCTCCCTCTATTTTAAAACCATTACCCCTTGTCCTATCACAACTGGTCCTCCTGAACAGCCTCTCCCCATCTTTCTTGTAGGCCCCCTTGATCCAAAAAAAAATCATACGCTGATAAGAAGGACTCCCAAGACCTTATGAGGTGGATCTCTAAGGCCTTTCCACTGCTCCAGGACTTGAATTTAGTTTGAAGTTGCTGCTGTAACCATATGCATTAGCCCAGTCTGGCTGTCGTCAGAAGCAAGCCAGAATCGTTGGTCTGATATTCACTGGAGAAGTGGGACAAGCAACTGGCTGTTTGACATGGTCCAATGTGGGAGAAGTTTGTTGTGTACTGAACCGTCTGCGTTTGTTCCTACAGGATCTTTGGACTCCAGATGAGCTGATTCCTGAAAACCTAAAGGAGAAACACAGGTAAGGTTGGCCAAGTCGTCTAGGACTGAAATATAAGTGTTGGAAGTAGGGAATGGGGTTGGACTGGCTGGAATGGTGCAAGGAATGGCAACACCTACTTAGGAATGGGCAACCAGGAACAGGAAGGGGATGACAATGCTACTGCAGAGGAGAGTTAGGCACAGCTCTGTGTACTGACAGCCCTGGTCTCTGCTTTTTCCCTTGCTCCCGAGAGAGGATCAGGAGAAGCAAAAGCAGGAAACTCTGGATGTGGAAGAGAGGGAGAAGAGGGGTGAGTAAAAGAGCTTGAAGAAGGACGTGGATGCAGTCAGCCAGGCTAAGTGCTGCCTTTTCTTCTGTCCTCAGCCACGTGAATGCTAGCATAGATGCAGACTGACTCGAATGGCTCAGCAAGTCTTCTCACTGTTTCTTTTCTCCCTCTTTGATGCATGTGTAATCCTGCAAAACCTCACTGCCTACATCTCTGGGATGAGAACTCAAAAGAGCACTGTGGCTGGAGAAGCCGAGAGCAGTGGTGCCTGAATACGTGACAAGCCTGTGGAGGTGCAGATCCTTGTTCAGTGTGGCAGGAGGGTCTACACCAAACCTGAGGCAACTCCACCAGCCCAACTTCAAACAACATTTTCCCGAAGGGGACAAGGAGAGGGGCGAGGGGGAATGGGAACTGGAAGCAGAGTATTCAGCTTGGGCAAGTCGTTCCCTGAAAAACTCGAGTCCAAATGGTTTGTGGGCTGCGGCGCAGAGTCCTGTGTTCTTGCTGGTCCTCTGTTCTTCTGTGTGGACACACAGCCTCTCGCAGGGCTCTGTCCTGCAGTCCTTGCCTGGAGTGACCCCAAGTCATTCTCTGCTGTGACACACGGGAGAGCAGATGGTTCTGAGGGCCTGAGTGCCTCCGCATTCCTGATCATCCAGAGGTCAGAGAGGGTGGGAGAAAGGCCAAAGATCAAAAGATCGAATCACCAGCTAATACCCATTGCTTCTCTTTGGGGCTGAAGAAAGTAGGAAGGTTCACTGGAGATAATTCTGGGATAAGATGTGTGATTGAAAGGAGGGCTGATGGAGGTGTTTACCTGCTTCTTTTCCCCAGAGCCTCACCCCAGTAGGCTGGACCTCTTCTGCTGCTGCGATCCACAGTGCACTCAACCTTCCCCAGCTCCCTGCTGCTCTCCCAGCAAGCCCCACGTTTCTGCTGGCTCCTGAAGCACTTGCTGTAGGCCAGCTTGCCCAGCTGATGCTCTGGTTCCCCTGAAGCATGTGAGGGGTGCAAGTGGCCCAGGTCTGCGGGGAACGGGCACTTCTGGGGAACTGTCCTGTCTTCTCAGAGAATGTGTAGTGTCTCTCCACTTATCCAGGCTGGGGGTTGATGTCTGAGGGCTTCTTGTCCAAAGCTTGCTCATCCCTGTCTGTACTTGCTTCTCTGACAGGTCCTTTGCCTTTTGAGGGTATCACTGTCACGATGGATTCCCACCAGCTGAATGGGACCCAGAGGGTTGTGTTCGACAGAGTGCTGACGGAGTCTGAGTGTAAGGACCTTCTTCGGCTGACAAAGGTGAGGCCCTGGGTCTTGAGGGAGCTCCTGTGTGTGTACTTCTCAGCAGGTGGGGTTTCCATGGAGGAGAGATGGCAGCCCGTTGTGTGTGTCATCTGTATCCTTCTATTCCAGGCAGCAGCAGAAGCAGGAGATGGCTACCGGGCAAGACGGTCCCCTCACACCCCACACGAGAGATTCGAAGGGTTGACTGTTTTGAAGGCCACGCAGGTGAGTGGCTCTGCGAGTCTGCTGCCTTCTTGATTGTCCATAAAGAGCGTTTGCCACCGGAGCGTTTTTCTCTGGGAGGTGTGCTCTGATGGGGTCATGGGTTAGGCACGTTGTATATGGAGGGCTTGAGAAGTGCTTTCTTTCCTGTGAGACAGTTTCGGGATTGCTGCTCATCCCTGTGCAGTAGTCTTACAGACATGCTTAGCTTAGAATTAGGGAATAAATGAAGGTGGAAGGAGCCTCTGGAGATCTCTAGTCCAACCTCTCACAGCATGGCAAATTCCAAAGCTAGATGAGATCCCTCAAGGCTTTGCACAGGCAAGTCCTGAACATCTCCAAGGGTGGAGATTCCCCAGCCTCTCTGGGCACCTGTTTCAGTGCTCTACTGCTCTCAGGAGGATGAAATTTTTCTTTATATCTAGCAGAAATTTCCCTTGCTGCATCTTTTGTCTGTTGCCTCTTATCTTTTCAGTGTGTCTCTCCAAGAAGAGACCATCTCCATCTTCTCTATAACCCCCTTTTAGGTAAGGTTGTAGTTAGATCTTCCTTCGGCCTTCTCTTCTCTAGGCTGAAGAAACCCAGCTCTTTCAGCCTCTTTTTCTAAGTCATGTGCTCCAGCACCCCTTGAATCTTAAGACCCTTCACTGAATCATAGAATCACAGAATGGGTTGGGTTGGAAGGGACCTCAAAGATCATCCAGTTCCAACCCCCCTGCCATGGGCAGGGAAACTCTCCACTACACCAGGTCACTCAAAGCCTCATCCAACCTGTCCTGGAACACTTCCAGGGATGGGGCAGCTACAACTTCTCTGGGCAACCTGGTCCTCACCGCCTTCAAAGGGAAGAATTTCTTCCTTAGGTCCAAGACTCACTCCAGTTTGCTAGTGTCCCTCGTGTGCTGGGGGACCCAAAACAGCGCTGCCTTCCAGATGTGGCTTCTTGTGCTGAGTAGAAGGAAAGAATTACTGTGCTCTAGTGGTGTACTCCTGACTCATATTTACATGAGAAAACCTGTTCTTTTCTTACACGTGTGACCACCGGGCTTTACACGGATCTCTTCTTCTGTACTGTGCTCATTTCTTGAAGTATCTTTGTATGTAAGTATTCCAACAGGCTTCTTTTTCACTTGCAGATGGCCCAGAATGGGGACGTGGACTGGAGAGATGCCAAATTGCTTCTGCAGGCCAGTGAGAAATCGCGGAAAATCGTAGAGTCCTATTTCACTCCTGGAAAGAAACTCCATTTCTCATTCACACACCTTGTGTGCCGCACGGCCGTAGACGGTAAAGAATCTTTCACCCTCTCAGTCCCTCTCTCCTGGAGAGTCTCCCCAGTCCCAGCCACGTGCTCTTGGGATACTCTCTTCCCTTTGCTCTCACCGTGCCCCTTTCTCTCTGCCTTATTCTCTCTTGAAACTGGCAATGCCCATATTCTTTTTTGTAACTTGCCTTCTCAGAGGAACAGGAAGGTCGCATGGATCTGAGTCATCCTGTCCACGCTGATAATTGTCTCTTGGATCCCGAGGGGCAAGAGTGCTGGAGAGAACCGCCTGCCTACGTGCACAGGGATTACAGGTAAGGGAAGAAGGGGACCTGCATTAGATCGTTGGAGATAAGAACATCTCCCCGGCCCCGTTAGAGGATGAGCTCAGCTTATAGAAACCAGGTGATGGGTTGTTGGCTCAAAGCCGGCCAGGACTGTAGTGTCAGGCAGAAGGCTGCATCAGTAGGGAGGTGTGGAACACCTTCCCTAGGCTGGGAAGAAGATTGCTGGGAGGTGGCATGGACTAGAACCATAATACCAAACCATTGTCTTGTGGGCCTGCCACAGTACCACCAGCCCTTAGGGCAATCTCTTTCTTCTCATCATGTTTCTTCTTTCCCAGTCCTCTGTGCATTACAGGAGAGGGAGAACCAGGCTCCTTGGATTTCCTTTGTTCGAGCAGTCAGCGTACTGTGGTGACTATTCTCTCCATTCGTCTCTCTGGCAATAATTTCTGTTGGGTTTTTCCATTCCTTGTGAGAGTTTTTTTCCAACCTGTGGCAGATTTCGTTACTCTTCTGTGAAAGAACTTGAAATATATTTTAAAGGTGGTGACGATTGTTGCACAGCGCAGCTGAACTAGGTCAGTTTGCTACAGCTGATTCCCTCTATTTACCATCCAATCCCTGGGTATCCAGAAATCTTATTTATCTTTTCTTTGCGTGGTAGCTGTACCCAGGGCAGAAATCTTCTCTGAGCAGCCTATGGTAAGGACGTAGGACCTGGAGGGAATTCCAGTATCATTGAGTCCATTTCCCTTCTGACGTAGATGTTGGTGTAGTCAGGTTGTAAAATTATCAGGCTCTGTCATGTAGCTGGTTAGATCTGTGTCCTTCCCATGGGAAAGCTGTCCTGGCACCCTGCTCCTCCCTGGGTAGAGGTTTCTCTGGCTTCTGCTTGAATGTATCTTAAAACGTCTTCCTGGGATCTTATCACACTTCTAGGAGTCCTCCTGTCCTCTTGCAGAGTGAAGTGTGGTTGACCAAACAACTCACAAGGGCTGAGCTCTTCCCGTGTACTTTTGGAAGAGGTCCCTGTGCTCCAGACTTCCTGGATCTCTTCTGTGTAGTTGTGCTACGGTTGTTAATGAAACGATTCAAGCAGGATTGGGCCCAGGGGGCCAAGAGTCCCAGTGATCCTCCTCCAGGTGACCAGTACTTCTTTGGGGGCACTAGTCACGTGTGCTGTCCACGCGCTCTTCTTCACCTTCTCTGTGTCCGTTGGGAATTCCTCTAGTGGCGCCGTTCCGAGTACTTTTACCAAACTGCTGAGGTCGAGCATGTTGTCTTTCCCTGGGAAATCCACTGTTTTGTCAAAGATGGCGTGACTAGCCCAGTCTGCTTTTAGTACCCCCATGGTGCATGTTAAGACTGTTTTCCCCGCTTACTTTGTGTCCTTCAGTTATCCATCTCCTCAGAAACAGAGTCCAAAGCTCTGCAGACTGCTGGGGTCGGGCTAACAGCCCTGCTTACGCTTGAACCGTTATCCCTACCCTCCTGCCCCGGTGTGAGAGCCATCCTTGTTTGTCTCCAGTCGTGTTACCACCTTGACTTCGCAGTCGTGTTAAGGCACTGGCACAGGTTGCCCAGAGAAGCTGTGGCTGCCCCATCCCTGGAAGTGTTCCAGGCCAGGTTGGATGAGGCTTTGGGCAACCTGGTGTAGTGGAGGGTGTCCCTGCCCATGGCAGGGGGGTTGGAACTGGATGGTCTTTGAGGTCCCTTCCAACCCAAACCGTTCTGTGATTTTATGATTAAAACCTTATGGCAGGAGAGCTGTAACTTTCTGGGTTTCAGGGTTGGTTGTCCTCTCACTGTCCTTGTCTCCTTAACGTTTTGCTTCAGCAGCCACAGTGCTGGTTTCTGTTTCGTTCTCCCGGTCCCATTGATGAGCTTCTGTTGTTCTTCTGACATTTTCTATCAGCTTAATTGAATTCCAAGAGGAACTCAAGTAGTTTGTGGCCCACTCTTTCTCCTAGTTGACTGTGGTCTCACCTGCACTGCACTACTTTTTGTCTAACACTAGTAAAGAAATTTATTGGTTTTTATTTTCTTTTCTGCATACACCAGGCTTCTTTTTGACCATTCTTATGTTACCCTGAAATTCCTTGACTCTTAAGACGTGGTTTTCTTTGCTGATCAGTCTCCTCTTCCAGGCTTTGGATTCTTCCTAATCTCAAAACATAAACAGCGTCATGCCAGGTCAGAACCAAGGTCTGTCCAGCCCAGGACGTTGTCACGACGGTGCCTCAGATGGATGCTGCGGAGGATTAGAACCAAACCAAACCAAACCAGGGCGAGTGCGTGGAGCGAGCTCCCTGCCGTGCTCTCCTAGCTTCCCATGGCTTCCAGCTCAGGGCCTCCCCAAATTAACATTAACACCCCCAATTGGGTTCTCCTGTTACCTGCTCTACTCGATTTTTGAACCTGTGGTATCCATAGCCTCCCATGACAAGGAGTGTGGGGAAGCACCTGGGAGGAATGAGCTTCACCATCCATATATCCTCTGGTTTTTTTTTTGTATCCACAGTGGCATTCTCTACCTCAACGATGACTTCCAAGGTGGGGGCCTTTTCTTCACTGAAATGGACACTGTGACTGTCACAGTAAGTCTGGGACTGGCCGAAAGTAAGAGGGAGAGAGGACTGAGGGTGAGACTGAGTCTGGGCAGGAGGAAACTGGTTGGTTATTGGATCCCACCACTCCAAAAACCATCCAGCGCTGGTGCTGTAGCAGATTCAAATAGAGGCAGCTAAAGGCAAATTGAGGCAAATCTCACATAGAGGAGAGGTTAACTCCTTCCTAGCTGGGACCTTCCAGGCTGTTCCAATCTGTGGATGTCTATGACCTTGGTTGTGTCTTCCATTCTCTCTGTCCCTCCCCAAGATCTCCCATGCTCATAGCCTGGCAGCGGATGCCTGGCAGCTCTCCGCTGTTCCACGTACAGCAACGGTGTGCCCCAGAGCAGGGGGCTGCTGGTTCACTGTCTCTCCTCTCTCTCCTGGCAGGCTGAGGTGCATCCTAAGTGTGGGAGGCTGGTAGCCTTCAGCTCTGGCAAGGAGAACCCCCACGGCGTGTGGGCAGTGAGCCGCGGAAGGCGCTGTGCCGTTGCTCTCTGGTACACACACTCACGGCAGCATGCTGAGCAGGTGAAGGACCATGCTGGAGGAACGGATACGAGTACCTCCAGGCTAGCTCAAATCCCCCTGAGGAATGGCTTGTGGGATTTCCCGTGGGAAAATCTGGTGGAGGGGCAGGTCCTGCAAGAGAGAACGGGCTTTTGGGGGGTTGGATGGATGGGTTGGGGGGGTTGGGTGGATGTGGCAAAGATGAGATGTGTCTTGTCAGCCCCTGCAAACAGAGCCGAGACCCTGACAGGGAGGGGTTCACATCATCTTTGTCTCCGTGGCTGCAGGAACGGGCGAAAGCAGAGGAGCTGATGGAGCAGAGGGCCGCGGAGCAGGACCGGCCCCGTGGAGAAGAACGTCAGGGAGCTAATCGCAGTGGCAGATCCTCCTCAGAGCCTCCCGTTCCCAACAGCGGCGCCAGGCCAGCGAGCCGGAGGCACGAGCCTGGCACGGACAGGACGCAGCACGCCGAGGAGCTGCGGGTCAGAGATGAGTTCTGAGTCCACGGGGCCCCAGGGGCAGGACTGGCACACACCATGGCCCGGCAGGTCACGGTAGCACCAGGACCGCGGAGACCTGGAGCAGTGTATTAGCATGCTAGAGCCGTAGTGATGGGGAGGGATGCAGCTTTCTGCTCTGTGACATCCCAGCAGCTGAAAAATGGGAGCAAGGACAGAGTATTAAAGTCAGCGACACCAGGAACTTTCTTCACTGCCTTGCCAACGTGTTTGTGTCACTCAAGAGTAGGAAGGTGGGGTGTCCTCACCTCTCAGTGCCAGCTTCTTGGTTATCCAGGGCCAAACCTGAGAGGGGGAGGAGGAGCCTGGGGTCTTTCGACAAGGGCTGTCTCGCGTTCAGGACCTCAAAACAGAAGCCTCTGAATTTCCTGGACACCTGCAAACTCCAAAACTTTGCAATTGGTCTGAGAGAGGGAAGGTGAGGGACTGTGAATATATGGAATAAAAGTAAAACGCTGGACACAGATGTTGGTGGGAGCTTGAGTCTGTACACCAGGAGGGAGAAGTGCACACTTGGTGCTGATGGGAATTTCATTAAAAAATGATGGAAGGAGATTGAGCCCTCGGTGAAAGAAAACAAAGTATTTGCCCAGATGCCAACTACTTCCAGCAAGGGAGCACAAAAGAGAAAGTCAGCTCTGCCATGACTAACCCCCAAAAAGCGTGGGAAATGCCTTTAAGGAAAACCACTGTACACTCATGTTTCCCTGAAGCAAGGCCTCTTTTTTTTTTTCTCTCCTCTCCTCTCCATGCACCAAATTGCCCCTGAAAGCAGAAGAGATATTTTGTTTATCATTTTCCACCCTGATACAACGACAATCTGCTGTCACTGCCCCGGGGATTAGTGTCCCGTGATGGGATTATATTGTAGCCGAACAGGAATTGAATGGGGTGGATATGGAGTATCAAAAAAAGAGCAGTGACCCTTTTCCTGGGAACCATTACAGCCAGAGATCCATCTGCGGTCACCTCCGGGAGAGTTGTCCGTGGAGACCCCCAACTACAGTTCAGATGGAAGAAATCCATAGGGCCAGGGGTGTAAGGGATAGGTGGGTGATGTCGTTGCCGTTGGCACAGGGCTCCTGCTCCGTGGAAAGGGGAATCTTTTTCAACCTGAATCCCGGCACTTCCTTAACACACAAGTTTGGGAAACCTGCACTGGCAACCCTTCCTGCCTCCCGTCCTCCCCGGGGTCACAGGAAAAAGCCAATCTGATGCGTGTATTTCAAATTCCCTCTCCCTGGAGCGAGGTCCGTCACATCCCAACGCTCACACGTCCATCCGGATGGTTTGTGTGGGGGCACTGGATGGTTCCTGCTTGACGAGGACATGTTGGGGGCTGAGGGGCCGGTGGCCACATCTGTGGCTTGCTTTGCCCAAAGGTGGCCCGGGTGATTAGACTGATGGCCTCCTGACGTCAGATGAGATCCTTTAAAAGGTATTTATCTCGGGCTTGGGCCAAAGCTGCGGGAGAGATTAAAAGAGATTGAGGCCAAGATAATCCCCTCGCAGCATCCCGCTGGAGTGGCTGCCAAAAGGCACGCCACCAAATCTTTTGCCACCCGTGGCCCCTGTGCCCAGTTCTGGTTTCCCCTCGCGGAGCCCGCTTTGCTGCCCGGAGGCGGGGTGACTCCAGCCCTGCCGTTGGTTTTTCGCTTGGCAGGGGGCCACCCACGGAGACCAACCCACCCCCCCTTGCCCCCCGCCCTGCCGAGGACGGGAGTGACATGCCATCCTTGGTAAACCGGGATTTCCTTCGGACTGTGAGGCGCAGCCAGCCCTGCCCCAGCGGCTGGTAATCCTCGCCTGTTCTGGCTAATCTTTGCTTTATTAGTTTGTTGCTGATATGCCCAGAGGGAGTCAAATCCGCCTGGGATGGTTTCTTTCCCTCCAGGAGCAGCGTGCTACTCTCTCTTTTCACCCCTCCCCATCCACCTGCTTTGCATTACGTCCCAATCCGATTTCCCCAAGTCTCTGGTGTCTGATTTAATTTGCCTGACGCCGCTCCTGGAATCAGCCCTCCCCTCAACCCCTCCCGTCCGCAGCCTTCCAGCTCCCCATGGGGAGATCAGTCCTGGGAGAGGCTGAGGAGCAGAGAGGGAGCGAGGGGCTCGCCGAGTGGCCGGGGGGGGGCCGCCCGGGGCGGGGGGGCTTCAGGCCGGTGGGGAGCCATTCCCAGCAGGAGAGGCAGGCTGTGAGGGTCCCTTCATCCGGGGAGGGACCGCCACCCGCCTCACTCTACAGCTCCCGGTAAGGATTCTGCCTTGTTGCGATGCTTGAGGGCACCTTGGTGAGCCTGGTGCTTCGGGATGCCAGCTTTCTCGGCGTGATGCTGCGGGGAGTCTTTGTACAAGGGCTCGTCCCGCTTGCGGGCATCGGAGGGTGCGGGAGGGAAGATGATGGTGGGGATGAAGTTGGGGTTAGCATGGAGATATCTTTACAACGATGAGGGGCTTGGCACTGGGATGGGGTTGCTTGTTCTCCCCTTGGCTGGTAAATCACACCAGTTTCCCAACTGGAACAGGAGGATAACACCTCCCCCGAGGGACCCATACGCAGTCCCGTGCGCCCACCTCTTTGCAGCTGGGTGCTTTTCTGGATGGAGAAGGAGCCCTCGGAAAGCGAGGAGCAGAGCAGGGTAATTTTACCCTGGCCTTTGATCTCCATCACAGGAGAGGAGGGATCATCTCCATATCCTGCTCTGCAAGGAGCCCAGGGTCACCAGGGCGAGCGTGTGAGGCCAGCCAGGGATTACACAGACACCCAGGGATGCTGCCTATTAATACTCGGTCCTCCCTCCTGCACCTTTCCTATCTGCAGCCCCCTCCCAGCATCCCACAGAGGTGTGGGGGAACCTACCCAGAGGATAGGAAATAAGGGGGTTCACCTCCCCTTTCTTCCCACCCATCACTTGCACCCCGATCCCCACAGGGAGCGTGATGCAGGTGGCTCGGTAGGACAGTCCTCGGGGTGCGGGCTGGGCACCCATCACGGCGTGGTGAAAGGGACAGAGCCATTGCCCTGAAAAGTCACGGTGGGGCAGCAAAAGGTGGATGATTCCAAACCCCCCCTCAGCCTTGTGCCGCAGTCAAGGTGTTTGATCCACTACGAGCAGACGCCGAAGGGCTCGGGGTGGGTCTGGTTGCCCCCTGGCAGGAGCTCTGCAGCAGGTGCCACCAGCAAGTACATGAGAAAAGGCAGGAGGGGAAAGAAGTGTCATGGAGAACAGAAGAAATGAAACGTGGTTTCAAAAGCCAAGAACTGTTAATCAGATGAGCATGGCTAAGGCAGAGCTCAGAAGAAGGCTGGGGTGAACCAACTAAGCCCGGGCTCCGTTTGGCTGTGCCGTGCTCCTCGGTGGTGCTTGTAGGAGGCACAACGCTGGACCAGTGCTGGCACCGAGGTCCTCCTGCCAGTAGCTCTTCACCATGCTGGGCTGGTGGTGGTGAATTGCTTTTGCAAAAGTAGGTAAGGGCTCGTTTTCATCCGCTTAGCAGCCACCTGAAAGGGCCTTTACTTTCAGAAAGCACTGGGCGTGCACCATTTAGAAGCCTTTCCCATTAAAACCAGGCTGGGCAGCCACCGTGAGCGACTGTGACCTGATCCACGGGATCCAGAAGAAATGTGCATCCCTAAGGTGCCACTGGTCACGGCAGGAACGTGCCTTGGCCAGACTCCAAACTCCATTCCCCTTTACTCTGTTCTTCCCTCATTTGGTTCCCTATTTCCTGTCCTAAATTTACATGACCATGATGAGCTGCTCATGTGGACACCTGCCGTGGTCCTCCTGGGAGGCAGCCGTGCTCCGCTGGGGACCGGGTAACTCACTCTCCACAGATTGCACTGGGACGCAACGGGTGGAGGCGACAGGCGAAGCTGGAGCTATTATTATCCCTCGTCTGTGGCTCCTTGTCCTTCTGAGGCTGAGAACAATTCCCAACTTCATTTAGAGCGTTCCCTCAAAGGGATTTAAAGGTTCGGACTGAGTCCTGAACCTGAGCTGCACCTTCTCTATATTTAGCCTTTTTTTATCCGTCCTCGACATCCTGCCCCTGCCCTTTGATCTGCCTACCAGCTCCGAAAGCCCCTCAGCTGGTTGTGCAACTTCAGAGAGCAGGTGCCCGTGAACTGGTGCTCCCATCCCAGTGCCAGAGTTGAGAAAGAAACAGCCAGGAAGGGAAGAGAATGGTAAAAAAGCAGGAGAGATGCAAGGAAGACCGGGGATCCGATGGGTAACGAGGAGAATGTGCAGCCAGCTTCACCTGGGGCAGGAATTGGAAGGAAGAGAGAACAAGGCTCCCCTCTCCATGCAGGTCTGGGTGGGCAAAACCAGAAGTCCACAAAGACGGATTAGGGCAGGTGGATGGACAATGAACTCAGATGGCTACGAAATAACAGCCTGGAGATCTTGGGGACCAAGCGGAGGAGGCTGGAAGGAGAGAGTCAGAGGGAAGCAGTGGCCCAGCAGGAAAAAGCAATCCAATGCTTAGGATCGATGGAGGGGAGGTAGCATCAGTCCTATGGAAAAGTGAGAAAGGGGAAGGCGTGGACCCAAATGGCAGGGCTGGTCTCCGCAGGGTGCCTGGAAGTCCAGGTTTGCCACTCGCTGTACTGGTAGGCAGCGACCAGCGGTGGACACAGTCCCTGCAGCTTGACTGTGCACTGAAGCTGAGGGGCAAAGGCC